ATTCGCCTTTCGTCCTCTCAATTTCGTAAACAACACCCGTGGTGCGAGATGTCAGTGAGTAAAACTTCCCTGGAAGAAGCTATGTGAAAGCATTTCGATAGGGAGAGCTAACTCTTCCTACTCTCGGCCGTATTAAGGCTTCTGGGGGCACTGAAATGAAATACCCAGTGAAAAATGCACCCTGATATACAGCATTTACCCAAAAAAGAATTAAAAGATTCTCGAAACTGTTAGATATCTCACTTTTATTGAACACCAAAAAGAAAAAGATTATTCTCACACTTTATCCATTGTACATCGAAACATACAAATACAAAATATACCAACTGATACAAATGATACAATAATATCAGTTCATATAGATTAACGAAATATGTTTATTAAAGGTCAACGCAGTCTATCCATGTATGTGTGTGTGTGCGTGCATGTGATGAGGAGGTTAATGTGTATGTTCCTTTCTATACTTCTAGTTCCATTCTATTTTTATTTAAAAGAAAACTGATAACATTTTCTTTCTTTCTTTCTTTCTTTTATTCTATTCATACTTATTTGACTAGGTCTACAAAAATTACAATCATAAATATGGTTCATTGATACATTTCTCTCTTCTATCTTTTCCTTCTTTTTGTTTGTTTCATTTATAGAACACTCATGATCGAAACCCTTCTCATACATTTAACAGTAGTAATTGTATACCTAAAGTAATCTTTCATTATATTTGATTTATTCATAGTGAACATTATTATTTTCATATAAATTTGAAGTTACAATATGTTAACATGTTTAGTTTAGTTTAGTTTAAAGAAAACAAATACCCATGTTTATCATAATTATTGACTTGGTACATAAATTGTTGTTACATATAAATAAATAAACAAAAACCGACAACAACAAAATACAAATCAATGTTTACATGAATTAGTATTTGAAAATGTTTAGTAAGTGATTAACATTAGTCTAAGTTGATAGTTTATTTCACTTATCGAGTATTATTGCTTGGTTTTTTTTGTCTGTGAATTATGGAGATTATAAACAAAGATGAATAGTGGCTAGCGGTAAAATCCAGTTTGATATGCGTTTCGTCCTATTTGAGACTCGTCAGATGAATATATCTGTAACTCAGAGTTGATGTTCACTCTGAGACTCGAATTCAGTAACGTTCATTTCAAACGCCATAGTGTCATCCATTTAACTACTGTGTCCTGATAGCCACAAGCTTTTGCAATGAGGTGAAGTTTAAATTCACTTGGTATTGTTTACTTCGATCTTTCCAATGATATTTAGGACTGAGATTGTTAAGTTTCTTATTAGCATATGTGCATACTGTGAGTATTGCCTCGATATTGCCTTAATTTCCAGGACTCAGTAGCTAAGTGGATAACGCGATGGCATTTGAAACGAACGTTACTGGGTTCGAGTCCCAGAGTGAACATCAACTCTGAGTTGCAGATATATTCACCTGACGAGTCTCAAATAGGACGAAACGCGCATCCTGGATTCCACTGCTAACCACTATTCATCTTTACTTTGAATTAGATCATCTTTAATTATCAATGTTTTTATGACCGTTTTATTTCTCCACATAACATAATCACTTAGTATGATATGTGTATCTATTTTAAAAGTTATGCCTATTATGTCATATATCATAAATTATATAATGACTTAAATTTTTATTAACGCTTAAATGATTATGTGATTATATGAGTAGTATATAACGTCTAATTACTATTATTATTACTATTCTTTTTATTATTATTATCATTATTATATTCAGAATGGATAAGTGATTTAATCAATTAACTTATGTTTATTGCTATGACAATACAGATCTTTAAATTCTGTCATAAAATAACATCATGACTGAATTATATCTGATTTAGACAAAATATGAAAGTTTATATGGTTTATCAACATGTGTGTGTGTGTGTGTGGTTAGAAAAGTTGTTTCATTTCATAATTTATATAACAAACAATATTATCAATTAGGTTGATTGAAGTGAGAAATATAAGGAATAGGAGACTGGTTTAGTGATATACATTTAAAGTACTTCTACTTGGAACTTGTTAACTTTGAGTTCGATCTCTGATAAAGTAGTGTATTTGAACTATTGGAAAGAGTACTTGAATATGATAAAATAGCTATACGGTGTTTACTGGTATCCACTAGTTTGTTTAGCTGGAATCAGTTTGTCATGTGAATCGGAAAATGTGAGAATTATTGTTGTAGGCATGTTATTTCGTTGAATTTTATGTAACGAAATAATTAAGCTTTATAGAACAGTGAATATATCTTCTGGTCATTTAAATCAGTATTGTAGAAAACAAGATTATTGAAGAGTATTGCATATGAAGACCGGTTTTAGCTAGGTAGTTAACCTTAAATGAAAACTATTGACAACATAGTGTACGTAATGTCGAGTCACCTAGACTAGTTGATAGGATTCGATCTGCACTATGAAGGACCTCACATACACAACATTGATCACCACTCAGTGATCAGTTTATTGTAAACGTTAGAAAGATAGATAGATCGATCGATCAATTGATTGGATATGGATACACACTACTGTTCCATTTTAAGGATGAAATATTTGCCTGATTACTTCTCGCTTGCACTAATCTCTTAGTTGATATCTATCTGAGATGAAAACGGAATTTCAGTCGAAATCAATCTCAACAAAAAAATATTCTTATTTAATAAATATCCTGTCTATTACTTTTCATTTATCCTGTCAGTAATTAAAGTGTGTTTATGAAAAAGAAAATATCATAATTGTTATTATCATTGTACATGTGCTTTAGATTATTATATTTTTATAAGAATTATGTAGATTACTGTTTACCGTTTGATTAGTTGGGTCATTATTTCCACCCCCACCCCCATCCCATCCCCCCCAAAAAAACCAAGGAGTTCTGCACGTTCTTCTAAATAATCTGAATTCATGAAAATGATTTTACATGTGTCATACACCTATAGTGACCTAGTTTTTTCCCCCAATTTGTTCATTTGTTTTTATATTAGTGTTTAAAATTAATAACTGCTTACATATGTTGTTTATTGAAAAGCTATCTTCCACTGTTAAGCTTAATCTGTTACTCATCCCAATGTTTTTTTTTAAATATATAAATCTTGCTTGTTCTAAGTTTGTGATATTACGTTGTTGAAGGTAACAGGTAAGATAAAATTGACATAGGTTATATATAAGTTGGTAGTCATCATTGTGGTGTAGTTGAAATGTTGAGATAACTGAAGCTTTCCTTTTGGATTCGATGAGATTCAATCAACATTAAAGGATTAGAAAAAGAAAGATGATGAACCCTACTTAGAGATCAACCGATTCTAAGCTTGAGTTAATGGAAATGAGATAATAATATATGGTATGAGATTCGTATATTAGGTTTTAAGACTGTACTACTATACTATACATCAAAACTTGACTGAAGTAAATAGTTTGGATAATTATTTATCTTCCAATCATTTGTTTAAAACTACTATGGACGTCAAGAGACTTGAATTCTATGAATTCCACTGCGCTTGCGATCTTTATTAAGTACTATTGAAGATCCCTTAAACTAGGTCAAAGTGGTGTCTAATAATCGTAAGCTTTCAGTAGACTGGTATGAGTTCGTTATTAAACAAAATCAACTTTGATTATTCCGAAATTCTCATAAACCTAATTATTATCATTACGTTTCATTAAAATCATGAACCAATATAAGTTAGACCACTACTGAAAACTAGGTTTCAAGCCTCGCGTCAGGGATCATGGATGATCATTGCTGAAAAGCTCCGTATTAGTAGACAACCATTGCAAATCAAGGACAAGTGAACAGATATATATAGTTATATCCATGAAAACACCACTTCATTATACCACGGATGTGTCAAGTAAAGCACGATCAACCGTGATGGAATAAAAATTATAAGATAACAAATATCATAATTCTAATTAATTCTATAGTGGAAATTATTCCGAAATATTTACAATTGAGTGATTAAATGGATGAAAACATGACCTTAATTGCTGATTAAAATGCACTTAGATGAATTGGAAATGTGAAATTTATTCCCATCCATAAATTTCTTTTTAATGACGTTTTTATCAAAATAACAAGTTACAATTACTAACTACTATTAATATTACTGTGGTGTAAGCTACTTATATCAACAGACATAAGTAGTATGTGATACCAATCAGAATTGAAGTGCTTGTAGCAAAAGGTTGTAAACATAGAATCGAAGAAAACGGGACTGTAAACGGAGTGTAATTATAAAAACAATGAAGTTTGAGACAATTGATGAAGGATTTACGAATGAAGTATTTAATGTATGGTTTTCACATATTACCAGAGAACTATGTACTTTTGCATGAAATAATTAATTGGTTGTCTCCACATCAGTTCTCGTTCAAAATACTACTACTGCTACTAGGGTGCATGTTACTTATATCAACAGACATAAGTTGTATTTATCGTCAATCGGAAGTGTAATATCTGGTAGCATGAGATTACAATGAAGAGAACAGGTAGAAAATCTGAGAGCAATCGAAATAACAACACAATTAAAGGAATAATGAAGCGTGTAAAGGACAACGCAACGAAGATGTACAAATGATGTATTACCTGTATGATTTTCATATTTTACTAAGCCACTGTGTGGTTTTACATTAGTCAATAAATTGGTTTCCTCCACCTGAGTTTCCAATCAATATAGCAGTGGTAATAATATTATTATTAATAGTGATGGTAGTAGCAGTTTAGTGAACGAGAACTCGGTTAAGGAAGACCAATTCATATTGGCGCAAAATTACAGTGTTGTCGGAAATTATGAAAACCATACATAAAATATTTCACTTGTACATCTTCCATCAGTTATCCTTTACACCCTTCATGATTCTTACAATTCTGCATTTGTTTCAATTCCTTTCTGCTTCTCCTTCAGTTCAATTTATCAATCAACTTTTGACAGGTATTCCACTTCTGAATAGTGTTATGTACTATTTAGATCTATCAATATGAGTAGGATACACCACAGTAGTAGTAGTAGTAGTAGTAGTAGTAGTAGTAGTAGTAGTAGTAGTAGTAGTAGTAGTAGTAGTAGTAGTAGTAGTAGTAGTAGTAGTAGTAGTAGTAGTAGTAGTAGTAGTAGTAGTAGTAGTAGTAGTAGTAGTAGTAGTAGTAGTAGTAGTAGTAGTAGTAGTAGTAGTAGTAGTAGTAGTAGTAGTCATAGTAGTCGTAGTAGGAGTAGTAGTAGTAGTAATAGTATGCGGATATACACAGTGTATACCTTAACTACCCAGATTATCTTTTAGATGCAACCGACTTCTCATTAAACTATAAATTGGTTTTGCTTATCAACTCTTCCTTCACAATACTACTACTAATCATCATATTGTAATACGAAAATGAGATTTAAAATAAATCAGAATATTCCCAAAAGGCTACTAATTCATAGCGCCATTTGCGAGCATCAATTATCCATTCATCAATCTATATTTACATCATATCAAACATCTGGGATTATATCAGAAAAAGAAACCTCAAAAGACCAGATGCCTTTTCCATTAGTCAATATATTGAATAATTGATTCATTAAAATTAATTTTATTTCGCCTAGGGGAGTCATGAATTGATTATTTTATTGTTTGTTATGGATTTATTTCATTAGTTGAGATCATGAGTTAACTGAAGCTAGACCACCATGGAAAACTTGGAAGCACTGGGCGGAACCCTTTCAATGTTCAATAAGTGTGTTGTATACAATACTCCCAAATATTGTTTCGTTAATTTAATAAATAAGTACTAAATACTAAGATATAGTTTTTATCTGATATTTCACTCCAACCTGAACTACAGTATATTCAATACCAATCGTCATGGATCAATTCGGATATGTAGAATATATGCAGCATTGATTCAATGAACAACAACACATAATTGGTTAATCTCAACCATAACGATTTTCAAAATAACCCTGAAAGAATAATTCATCTGTTTTGTACTTCATTTATATAATTTCATTTTATTGATGATAACATATCATTTCGTTACAGTGTGCTCTTATCTTTTCAAATAATCTCGCGAGGTGGTATCGTGGATGCGCACTACTGAGGAGTCCCCCAATTGAACGAAACAGCCATCCAGGTTTTCTATGGTGATCTAGCTTTAATTGATTCATGATCTCAACTATTGAAATTACTGCAATCTCTACAGAAAACCCTTCCGATAGATTTATTTATCAAGATCATTTTTATTGAAGTAATTCTCAATTATGATGAGTGAAGATAAAACCAGTTGCAAGAAATTAGACAACATTGGTTTCTAAGTATCTGTAAGGGGAATTACATTGAATTGTATACAAAGGCTAAGATAATGTAAGACTTTTAAATTAGGTATTTTGAGAAGAGTTGAAAGCTTACACATGTAATCGTCATATTATACCACTTTATCGAATCTATTCAAGCTAATTAGTATTCATAAAAGTTTACAAGGTTAGTATTAGTGTCGAATCTTTATAACACAGTTTAATTTAGACAGTTGCTTTACCGCTCTAAATGTAGCCACAAATTGAGTTGATTTAAGATTATGACAATAAGATTATCAAGAAAATTCGTGATTAAACTGTTTATTTCTAATTCATCATTATTAAACTGAGTTCATTCCATTTCCGTTAGGGTTTTACATCACAGATTGTCTTTGGTTAAACAACCATTATAAACCAGAAAGCATTCGATGAGTGTTCTATCCTAGTCAGCATTAGGGCTCTACAAATCAATAAAAGATCGGATCTATAACTTTTAGAGCTTCCAATAAGCACTTAATTTTAGCCTCAGCGTCTTGAGTTTGGTCCCTAATTGGATCATGGATGCGCAAATATGAGCGAACCCATTCTAGTATTGAATGATTATCTAGTGCTTCCTACTTTATTTAATCATTGTTAGTTGCTGATATGAAATTTCAAACTGAATAATATCCACAATACTTTAGTATAAAAACTGTCCACTTCAGTTGATGTTTCATACAACAGACACTGAACTTGAATCTTGTTAGTAACATTAATATATGAATGTACATCCTTTCAATTAATTAATTCTAATTAAAACATAAAGAGAATACGCTTTAAATCCTCATCCTACTAGTCAATATCAAGTATTATATGTTGATAGTCGTAAATAATATTGATGTAATAAAAAAACTTGACCTTTAGTAAATTTGTACGAAATAAATTAGTAATCAGTTCTAACTTGAAGAGAAAATTAGGAAAAGACGATGGAAGTGGATAGGATATAAATTACAGAAACCATCAAACTGCATCACGAGACAAGCACTAACTTGGAATCCTGGAGGGAGACGGACATGAGGAAAGCTAAAAACACACTTTGTCGGGAATTGGAAGCAGACATGAAAATGATGAATAGTGAGTGGAAACAATTAGAAAGGATTGTCCACGACAGAGTTGAATGGGGAATGCTGGCGAGTGGTCTATTCTCCTCCACGAGGCGTAATAGGTGTAAGTAAGTAAGTAATTTAGTGATAGTTATTTGATTTTATTTATCTGAACCATGAATTGTATTCTCTAACAGTTGCCTTATCCGATAGATAACAAGCAAAAACTGTTTCTTTCAGCTACCTCACTACGTATCTATTCCATTCTTTTTACTCCTGTCAAACAGGCTGTATTGACTGCCTAAAAGAGACTTTTTTCAAACATATCCGAGTACTAAGCGGCATGCTTGTTCAATAGTGAATGAAAATAAAGTAAGTTTTATTGTTGAATACCTGATCACTTTCGGTAATCTATCTCAACCAGAATGTTTATTTACAAAATCAAATGAGTCGTCTCTAAAGGTGAGGAATTTGTACATAGAGGTAGAGTACGGTAATTTATCAGATAAAGCCTAATCCTTGAATCGTAACTTAATAATTATTGTGTGAAAGTTTATCCACATGTTTTATTTAATGTTGGCTAAAGATGTTCTATCGAGAATTCTCTTGAAATATCATTGAACTTTAAGGTTCCGACATTATTTCCAAATCGCATTTATAATTTTCAACTGAAAATCGGTTAGCATGATAATTTCATAATTTACATAACAGACTGATTTCAGTCAGATAGAGAACAAAAAACAAGGGAACACTAGAAGTAATTTTACACTCTAGAATGAGACTCCTCAGTAGCGTGTATTCACAGACCCACCGAGGTTTAATCTAAAGTTCTTCTAGTGAACGTTTAACTCATATATCACTAGGTTTCAAACCAATGATTCACACTGTCCAGCTGTAATCGACTGATGAAGTTGTATGGCTATCTTCGAATGTCACATTTAAAATGGTTGAATTCAATTGATCACGAAATCTCACTACGACTAGAGCATTACCTCTTGAAGTTAATCAACGTTTACCTAACTAAATTTGATTTGTAAATGGAAACTAGGAAATTTAGCGATTTTTACAAATTCCTATTGTAATACCGTCTATGTATTTAGATAAATGTGTTAGATATTGTAAAAGCCTATATATACAAGTGATAGGATCTTGTCTAATGAAACTAAATCTTTTATGTTGAAATGTAATTGCTTTCATGATTCCTGACAAGTTCACTGTCCAGTCAGTTTTGCACTATGATTAAGCAACCGGTAGGTATACCACTGATTGTCATTATTTTGAATTAAACATCAATTCATTATTTGAAATTAAGAGTTAAATAGTTCAGTTTAAGGAAGTGTGTTGATATTACTTTAATTCATTTTTATTCTTCATTACTAACTGACATCATCTTGATTATCAATGAAAACTAGAAAATAATGAATAGTTGTTTCATCCTACCACCATCGATGAAGTTTGATTCAGATGAATACACTTTATTGAGGAGATTGAGAAGCTACAATTAGGAAAGCCAAATAATAGATAAACAAAACATTGATACATATATCATTCTTACCCAGGGAGAAATATGTAGGCTGAGACACTGATTAGTTAATATAATCGAATACCTTCAATAGTATGTTTAATTTGTAATTTATCAATTACTGATCTCCCTTGGGATCACAATTAAACACAGGCACATGTTATATCGAGACTCGCCAAACTCAATAAAAACTCCTTAAGAGTAAGAAGTTTATGACTGATGACACTAGATTATTATTCTGTATATTACTAACTGTTTATGGTTGGAATTGTTGACCACAAAGATTCTGACTGAGTAGTCTAAATGATAAAGAATTATCTACAATATATCAGGGTTTAGATAAAAGTTCTTTCCTGAGAACTCTTATACTAGATTAAAACAGATGACAAATACTTCGAATTATTTAATAATTGAATTCGTGAGTCCATTAAAGCTAGACCACCATGAAAAACTTGGAAGCACTGGATGACCGTTTCATCCTATTGTGGAACTCCTGAGCATTGCGCATCCACGACTCCCCCTCGCGTGACTCGAACCCTGAACCTATAAGCCTCGCGTGCGAATGCTTGACTACTAGACCACTGAGCCGGTATCCAACGGTGTTAATGTCTAATTTCAACTAATCCACGAAATTGAGCTACCGTCCACTATTGTCTTAAGTGAGTTACTAACTCACAACAGACCCGGTTGAACTGCATTGGTCACGGCTTCTCACTAGAACTCCATGAAATAAGTCTTGGAGACAGTCACTAGTGAACATATAATGATTTTAATCACACACACACACAGAGAGAGAGAAAGATTGTAGTAATTTAAAAATTGAATTCACGAATCAACTGAAACTAGATCACTATGGAATATATGGAAGCACTGGATGGTTGTTTCATTTAAATCAGTGATCAATATCATTGATAAATTAGGAAATCCTGTACAAAAATAACACCAAATATAATAAAGTCCCGAATATACATACATGAACTCATTAACCGGTTATTATATGATTCAGTTATAAAGGAAATTTATGTAGATTTCATCAACATATTTAATCTCATCAAAACATTGTCACAAATATCTTATTCCATTTCAAAATACTGAATAAACAAATGTAGATAGAAGTGTTTCGACTCAATTAATCTGACTGATGCATATTAATGAGACAGTTTCTTTTTCTTCTTCAATATTAAAATAGACAGTATTTGTATGTTAGATGATGTTCTCTTGCTTTCACTTTCTCACTCTCTCGCTCTCTCTCGTTCGATCTCTGTTTGTAATATATAAGTTATTTGAATTTGTCAACCAATCTAATCATTTTCAGACGAT